TGAAAAGGCGGCGGCGCCGGCCCCCGGCGGCTCCGGCCGCGGCCGCACGGGGCGGCAGCCTTAGGGCGGGAGGAGGGGCCGCACTGGAGGCACGGGAGGAGAAGGTGGTGTACTCGCGGTCGCAAGTGTCGCTGGCCGACAGCACCAAGGCGCTGGGCGACGCCTTCAAGCTGTTCATGCCCCGCAGCACGGAGTTCATGAGCTCGGACGCGGAGCTCTGGAGTTTCCTCTGCAGCCTCAAGCACCAGTTCTCCCCGCACATCCTGCGCAGCAAGGACGTCTACGGCTACTCGTCCTGCCGAGCCCTGGTCCCAGACCCCCCGCCGCCCCCCACTGCCCGCGGCCAGAAGCGCAGGCCCACCCCGGGCACGGCGGCCAGGAGGAGGCGCCGCCGAGCCCCGGCAACCGCCACCCGAGGGAGGAAGCCCCCGCCACCGGCCGCTCCCGAGGAGAGCTGCCCGGCCAAGCCTGTGGCCCTCGGGCCCTTCTTCGGGGGTCGCACCCTGGAGGAGATCTGGAGGGCGGCCACCCCGACGCTGACCACCTTCCCCACCATCCATGTTGGCAACGATGTGTGGGGCGAGCGCAGCCTGGCGGCGGCGCGGCACCAAGCACAGCAGGTCCTGCAAGTGAACCTGGAACCCGTGGTGAGGCTCCGCCGCTTCCCGGTGCCCCGAGTGTGAGCCGAGACCGTGAGGGCGCCTCCTGCCGGCTGCGTCCAGTCTGCCTGCCGAGGTACAGCCTCTCGGCCTGCGCCGCCCCCTCCGACGGCTCCGGGGCCGCCCACCCAGGGACTGAGCTTCCGCCTGGAGGAATGAACAAGTGTCAGTCGAGTGTTTACAGATCCGGCCAGGACCCTGCCCCCTAGTGCACTTTACAGGCGAAGAAGTCACCGGATGGTGTTCCTTGCCCCGCGCCTGCGGGATGCGACGCCGCCGTCTGGGACTCCGGGGCAGGTGTGTCCTCTGCTGCCTCCCGGCACTGGGTCTGCAGAGGGAGGAGACCGCTGGCCTCGAAGGGGAGGTCCCTTTTTTCCCTAATCCCAGACTGAGATGTCTCCCGGACTAGAGGGGCATATCGGTTTTCTCCCTTTTGGACTCTACCTCACTGGTCTGGAAGTCCTCCGAAGAAGTCATTATTTTTCCAAAGGAATTTCGTTTCGTGCTTGTGTAATAAAGTCAGATTTTAGTTGCTTTTATACCCCTTCCCCGTTTCTTTTTGATTGCCACCCCTCATTCTGGAAGAAAGCTCGAAATTTTGTGGTGTTGCACTCGTTAGTGCTCAGGGTGTTCTGAATTCCACTCGTTCCCTAAATTTAAATGGATTCCAAAGCTTTGACCAAGGATATTTTTAAAGAGGTTCAGGCTTATGACTGTTAGTAATGCAAGGATTTCTATGGCTTTGAATTTATTTTATGGGCTCAGTGATTACAGAGATGCAAAGTACAAATGTTTAAACATTTTAAAGGTATTTCTGAAGATTTTACAGTGAAATTTAATGTTTGTATATACTGAGCTTCTAAAGAAAATGGCAGAATACTCAAAAGTTTAGGAAAAATTGACTTCGCAAATTCTTCTGAATTGAATAAAACCCCTTAGCTTGTGATACAATAAAAGATGAATTATAAAGAACTGGTGTTGGTTACAGGCATGAATGAAATCAAATTAGAGACGATTTGGCCCTCCATGTAATGGTTCAAATACAAATCTAGCAAAACTTGCAAGGATGATTTAGTTCAAAATGGGAGTTGAATATGGAAAGTGAATGTGTGTAAACGTTGTGTTTAAAATGGTAACAGAATACCCATTAGAATTCTCAGAATTAATAATGATCTAGAGGGGTGGACACATTTCTTGGAATCAAATAACTTGGTTGAACTTTCTTTGGGCAAAGTAGATCTAGTCTTTTCTTCTTTGTTTTTGTTGATGGATAACAAGAAATGTCCAGACTAATATCACTTTTGTAAACATGACCACTGGTTGGCTTTTTGTTTCATGAATTTCCTTTTTTTATATATCTACTTTCTATTCATAAATGTTTATGGTTATAGGTCTTGGAAAAATGAAGACCACAGGAATCAAGCAAGCGAGCCACACAGAGAACGGACCCTTCATTTACACTTTTATAATAGTGTTTATACCATATGGCCCAGTGTGGAATTCTTGATTATCCAAGTGCCTTTGGTCATTGGTGGCAGCAAGACTTGATGGTTTTAGCCAGTGGTGCCACAGCCAGCTTTTACTGCAATACCTAAAGGGTTAAGTAGTGTTTTTGTACCACTATCCTTTCAAATTAAAGTATTCTGCCATGGAATGATCCATACCGGGCTGGAACTTGGCATATGAAATCCTTAATACTGAGGTTTATCTCTGCTTGGCAGCTTCTTAGGAAAACAATGAGAGTTGAAATTTTGACTCTTGTGTTCCCAGAATTCCAATGGCATAGCTTTCCTAAATGAATCTTTCAAACTTTATAGTCCATACATTTTATGATATTAATTTCAGTGTTCTTTTGTAAACTATATATATATATACATATATATGTATATGCATATATATGACTTTATGCCAGTTTCCCAATAAGCCTCATAGTCATTTATTCACTTATCATTGATAATGCTTTGTTACAGATTCTGTCACATGATTAAATAAAAGTCAATAATTAGAATATGAAGAGTGTTAAATAATACTTGTGTGATAGGAAGCTTAGCTATATTTCTTTCCATTGTTAGCTTCCATTGCTAATTGTATTTCAGATGCATAGGGTTTTCATCCCCAAAATATATTGCTAACTTTTATAGCTAACTAGCACCTGGAAAAAAAGAATATTTGTACCACTTCACTATTGTATATAGTTTTATATAATTAAAAAAGAAATCCTATGGCCATATTAGAATGTAACGTCAACATGCAGCTTATCTAGATAGTTTCCCAGAGGATTTAAAAATTAGACCTAACTGGGAGGATAGCTTTGCTCAGCACATGACTGAAACACCATCATCGTCATCAACACCATCATTTATTTTGACTGAGATTGCACTTGAACTCACATAAATACCTGTTGGGATCAGTTGGGTTCCCTGATTACAGTTTGAATCTGATTGCTCACCCTGAATTCAATATGTTATTTATCTGATCTCTTAACAAATCATGCCATTTCAAGTTTGAAGTAGGATGTAAAAAAACACACCAACCACAAAACTTTATTTTTGCCAAGTTTTCTTTAGCAAAACCTATGTTGCAACTTCTAAAATGTGAAGAAAATTCTAAGATAGTTCATTAGTATATTAGTAGTAAAGTGAAAGTATTTTAGGGGTACTTTGGGCAGAATGTGAAAAGAAACTTGGCACAGTGGCCTTGACTGTGAGGCATCCATGTACTGTCCTCTAAAGTGAGTCTGTAGCTTAGCCTGTGTATAGTTTGTAACGGAATCCCATGATCTCTGTTTGTTATCTTGCCTTCTCTTATAACTCATATGGCACAAGTCGGGGGAAGCTGGGAAGTAAATGTATCATTTTGCTACGCGTTTATTTAATTTTCAACTCTTGAGTGCCTAAATGTGGTGACCGGCACCTCAGACAACCTGATGTCACTTTTTAATCTCTTTCCTGTCAACCAGCAACTTATTTTTCTTGTTAAAACCAGTAACATCATGATTGTTGAGGGCAAGTTTCATTGTTAATAGTGCAAAGTGTTACTGTTGTGGTGTGTATTTATTTTGTCCAAGGTTGAGTACCCTGTTGGACAAGTGTGACTTAAGCTGGTGGCTGACACTTACTGATTTGTTTGTGCAAATGATAATACTATTTTTCTGAAAACTCTTCAATAAAAAAGCTTTTAAAATATTTGAATACAAGAAAATCTGAGCAGTTTTGAACTCAAGAAGTTTTTTTTGTTTTTGTTTTGAGGGTTGCCACAGCACTCTTCAAATTGATGGTTTTTAATGAATTATATATACATAGTATTTACTTTATTGGTGTGTTTAAGATATTGTTTGATAGACTGTTACGTCTTAAGTGCATTAGAAGGCAATTGTTTGTAATGGAGCCGAAGTGTTTCCCTGGACAGTTTGATGTGCATATGATTAAAATTTACAATCTGGTTGTACTTTGCTTTTTAACTTATTAACTGTAAATAAATTTTAGAGAATACATTGTGTCTATCATTCTAATGATGCTGAAGGTTTTGAAAAGGAATTTTGTGTTTGCATGTGAACTGAAAGAATCTTGTTACATTTGATGTCTTTTGACTATATTTTTAACTTCATTCTCCTTCAAAGTTTTGAGATTCGAGTTTTGTGATTTATCTCGGGAGTCTGCATTCTCTTCAACTCTTTAGTGATCTAGTGAATCTCCAGAGCCATTGCTTCATGCCAAAGTCATTACCCAACTTTCCAGTAATAAAGACTCCCTCAAAAATGCATCCAAGTTCAGAGTTCTATATCGTGACCCAAGGTCCCATGTGGTGACTATAAAAGATCTGAAAGCCACATTTTAATGAAAGAAGTGAAGATTTCTCCATGTGAGCCTCAGCAGTAAAGGCTGTTCCATAAAATGACAATAGGGCCAGATCTTCATTATAGTCTAGACGGTAGAAGTGAAATCCGAGCAAGTTCTTCAGCAAGGGCAGGATTCAGAGCAATGTGGCCTGAACTGGGCTTTGTACCTGAGTTCCCATCAGTACTTGAGCATAACGTAGTATCTCTGGAATCAGAGTACCTGGAATAGAACTCTAGGTCAGTTTCTTATATTATCTGGTATCTTGATAGCTTTATCAATGATCAAATGTAGCTAGTAAGAGAAGGAATTAAAAGGGGTGTTAATGCTGGGCACATAGGAAATACTTTAAAACTATGAAATGGAGGTGTGTGTGGTAAGAATATTCTGAGAGTTGTCCCTCAGGTTTAGTGTCCTGAGAATAGAGTAGTCTGGGAGTGCTAAAAGATTAAGAAAGGTAAATTGTGGGTGACTTTAATAAAAAACATTTCTATGCTTTTTAGGCTGCAGAAAGTTGGGTTAAATAGCTTTACTAGGCAGGTTTTTCATTGTTAGAAGTTTTCTGAATATTTTTTTTGGCCTTTTATCAACATGGTATCTCTAAAAGGTATTTAAAACATAATACTTTGTGCTTTAAACTATTCCAAAATTTATAAAATAGAGGAACACTATTGATCCCAAAACTTACTAGATTTCTTCACATAGTTTTCACTTTTGATAAATTCAGTAAGGATTGTTTAAGAACCATATTAACTTATATGAATCAAGCAAGTTAGAATTAGTTTTGTGGGGTTTGTACTTTTTGTGTTAAAGGAGACGTAATGAGTCTGAGATAGCTATGTTTTAAATAAAATTATTACTAAAGTAGAAATGCCCTCATATTGGAAGAATTATCATACTCAGATTTATAATTTGGGTATAAAGCCCATAATTTACCTCGAGTTCTTCCTTAGCACAAAGAATAACAGAACACATTCTAACTTGGTGATCAAGTCAAAGTTGCAGGATCTGAGGTTGACACGAGAATTGGAAAAGCTTTAGATGGACATTATCCAGGATCTAGAATCTCAGAATTGAGCTTGATGGCAGATTCACAAAAGCAATGATTTCTCATTGTCAGCACTCTTAGTAAATGTCATCCTAAACTATGGCTTATAAGACAATAGACTATTGGAAACTCGGTTGAAA